CACGATGAACCTCAACAAGAACCATGACATTTTCTTGAGAAACAACAACTCCTATCCGTGTGCCTTCAAACTTTTTCTTGGACTCACCCTCGTGCCAAACAAAGACTTGATTTCCCTTTCCATACAAACCATCTGACGGCATAACCTGTCTTACGATATCCTTGCGGACTTCTTGACGAGCTCTCAATGCGATTCTCTGTAAGAACGGAAGCGCGCACTGAGAGGAAGCCGATCAGACTTGTGTCTTTTCTGTCAAGTCTCTTCAGTCTCTCCATGTCTCTCACTTCCCAGTTCCACCTGCTCGGAGAGTCTCCGGCGCCTGCACTCAGGACCGACTCGGAGTTGGCTTAACCGCTTTAACCACTTAGCGGCTTGGCCTGTGCCGCGCAAGCTGCTCTACACAACGACCGATGAGGAACAGTGCGAAGGGGACCTCGGAACTTTCCAATTTGCTGGAGATGAACGGCTCAACCATCAAAAATCGCGCATGTAATTCAAGCACCAAGGAAGGCAGTGACAGGACACAGTCAATTGAAGAGCACCCCGCTGTCGGTCGGAGGCTTGGTCCGGGACTGCCACGACGGCATAATCTTCACCCAGCCATGGCAGTGTGCCCCCAAGCTCAAGCTCTTCCAAGACCTTGAAAGAAAAAGAGAAACCAAAAGGCCAGCATTGTAGTGACTCAGAGGCACCGACAACGCCCAGGACAAACACCACGACGGCTTGCATTAACACTGAGACCGTCTCGAGGGCGACCACGACTCGAAGCCTTCCGAACGAGCACTGCTTGGGAATGGGATCATGGAAGCAAATCCTCAGTCATTGCAATCAACGCAAACGCCTCTGGCAACATAGTGATGCCAACATGCGCATTGAAAAGCCGTCACCATCACTCTTGGCCTGCCCAAGCAGCTTGAGGTTTGAATCCTACAGCAAACTGCCCCAGGAGGTCGAGCCTCGCGAGTGTCGTACACCACTGCAGCCCGGACGCTGTCGGCGATTGTGTTTCCCTGACAAGCGGATTTGAGGACAAAGGCCCTGCTTGTGCGCAGGAATTTCGTCCCTTAACAGCCCGGTCCCACCTCTCTGGCCCGCTCCTCGAACTGCGTCGCCGCCTTCGCAAGCGCTCGGAGGGTCTGTGGAGCGAAGTCCCGTGGAGCCTGTCACAGTACTTTCGGACACGACCCTGTGATCGGGAAAATCTGCTTCAAGACAGTTGACAAGCTAGGCTTGTCTTTCGCGCCCGGCGTCCATCTTAATGACCCTTCGACCCGAAGTTGCCGTGCTTGACGAATGCTCAGGAGGTCTACCACCGTCTGCCTCATGATTGAGCTTCATCTAGCTGTCTTGCGTCGTGGCCTGATGGGTGGCAAGAAATGCGGTAAACACTATCCAACTCGTACCTCCTGACAACGAGATTCGTCAACTGAAGCCATTGAAAAGATCTGCACGCTAAAGCACGAGGCTGTCTGCATGATAAGATGTGAGCCGAACCTTGTGCATGTGCTTCTGCTGCGAGCTGCAGAGACATCAGGAATGCAACATTGGGCAACAAATTCGCCTTGCAATCTGTCGCCTGTACGAGGAAAAAGCGATGCACTGCGGCCCTAGTCGTGATGCACACGGTTCTTGAGAATCCACTCTATGTGTGATGCAGTGTCTTTCGGGCCACCTGGCGTGTGCAGCCGAAACGCCTCACTCCAACCTGTAGATATGCAAGGAACTCACTGTTCGGACAGGGCAAGCACCGCAAAGTAGCCGAACTTTTTCTCTGTAGCCCTACGAAGTTTCGGAACGGCGTCACAGAACACCTACCAGGAAATCAAGTCCCATAGCCCACTCAGTCGAGAGTCGATTTAAAATAATTGCTATGGCACAGGCGACTGCAGGACGTCCGGGAATGGCGGTGTAAAGTCTATGCTCCTGTTTCTAGCCCCAGGGGTGACCGTACCCCGGCTGACCCCACATGGGCTGTTGCTGACCATACGGCATGCCACACCCTCCACAGCCACAACCGCCACATGCGGCATGGCCACCCTGCCTGAAGTTGGTTCCTGGTGCAAGAGACCATGCGCTTTCACCTGTCCTTTCATTGTAGTAATATGGCTGGCCTTGCTGGTCATAATATAGAACCCACTCTGCAGGCATCTGAAACATTGCCTGAGCATTTGCACCATACATCGACTGGGGTTGCTGAGCGTACGGAGCACATGGTTGCTGCCATGCTTGCTGCTGCATTGCATGCTGTGGCGCAGCCTGCGGCATCGCCATTGTCTGCTGCTGATGCTGCATGGCCATGGCATGTTGCTGCATAGCTTGCTGTTGCATTGCAACTTGCATCATCTGCTGCTGCATGGCCTGATGAGCCGCAATCGCATATGCAGTATAGGTGTCCTGCATTTGTTGAACATACGCCTGCCACGCGGCATACTCCTCTGCTTCTCGGCGCAATCTCTCTTGGTTTTGGCCTTAAACCCGAGACAGGAGATGAACGCATCACCGAGAGCTAACGATTCTTGCATCTACAGGCTATGGCTGGCAGGTGCATGGAAAATTGCTCGATTGGTGTGTAATGAACAGCAGCACCTGAGATACTGCCGAGCTGCGAATAGCCATCTGGATCGCCTCCTGGTCAACCTTCCGTTGCTTCTGTTGCTCGGCTGACTGGCCATTGGCGTAGAACTCCAGGAGCTGCCGGAGCTCCAGCTTCGCAGGCTCCATGGCCACCGACGGCCCCGCCAGCTCCAAGCCTCGCTTCAACAAGGCCCGAGTCCGAGTCGCCCGAGGCCCAAGAACCGGAAAAGGACCAAATTACTAAAAACAAAAAAGCACAGAACTGAACTTGGCCCAACCAACTCCTACCTTTTTTCTGCATGTTTCCCTTTTGGGCAACCCTAGCTAATGAAATCAGACGGGGCGCCAAGCTTGGAGATGCTGCAGTCCAAGGCGAATTTCGAAGCGAGCATGTCCAGATCCTCCTGGAAGCTCACAGGCCAGTGCGTGGCATCTGGCGGCAGCTCTAAAGTGTCGAAGGTTGCAGGGTCAACCTCGATGATCGCCCCATGCTTGAACTTCTCACCGAAGGTGGCGACCACGGCATCCTCGTCCTCCAAGCCCAGCAGGCTCGTTCCGTCGATGGCGGTGATGGTGCAACCCGCCTGAAGATGCGGTTGGCCGGGCTCGTCCTCGACTTCGTCCACGTGCATCCCCCAACATGTCGCAGTCAGTTCAACACCAGCTCCGGCGTCGGGGTCCACCACCAAATAAGGCTTGCCATCGTCCTTTCCATCCTTTCCATCCTTTCCCTTCCCATCCTTTCCATCTTTGCCTTTGCCTTTGCCCTTGGCCTTTCCTTCTTTTCCTTTGCTTTCGGGCATGGTGGCTTCAGGTGCCGGCTTGACCGGCTCCGGCTCAGGGGGCGGCGCATCGTCCTCCTGCGAGACCGAACATCGAGGTTTGCTTGACTGGGAAATGAAACGGCAAACCGTTTCAACGAATTTACAACCCTTAGTTTGCGTCTGAGGCCAAATTCCCTGCACATGAAACAGCTGACGGCTTTCGACTCTGGCAGAGGCTTCCGGATCTGTGCGCAGAGAATGGCAGTCGGTTTTCTTGCGTCAAGGACCGTAGGACGGATTCGTCACGAATCGCGTTGATTGTAGAGGCTTACTTCTCCAACGACTAACTCCCTCTAACGAGACGATAGTTCATGGGAACCTCAGATCACACAAGCCTACGACGCACGGTCCTCTCGATTTCGGCCTGCATACTTCGGTCCAGTGTTCAAGAGTCCCGCCCAGCTTTTCTTCTTCTTCTTTTGTGTCGGAGCCTCCTCTGCCACTGACTCTTTCTCAGTCTTCGGAGCTGGGGCATAGAAGGATCTACCATGCTCTTCAGACGGGACGACGAGCTCGTTCATTAGGTCTTCTGCCTGCTGAACCTTGTCTTCATCGACACCTGTCATCTTTGCCAGGATGATGGCCTGAACCAATGCAGTAGGGTCTCTGCTTTGCATGGCTGCCTGCAGCTTCTTGGAAGCTGCCAGTGACTCCAGCACGGTCTCAGCTTCATCGATGATGCTTTTTTCGATGCCCGCCTCGGGATGCGTCTCATGACAAATGTGTCCATCTACAAACCAAACATCTTTCTGCCCGGTCATGCCTCCTTGGCTTGAGAAATCACGCTTTTGAGCACGACTTCATCACTGGCCTTGATCGCATCCTCAAGTGCCTGGGTGATTTCGCGTGCCTTCTTCCCAGCAACAGAAACGTTCCGCTCCGCTTTCTGAGCCCGCGCCAACTTCTGTGGCGCAGGATTCTTTGTGGCAAAGTCCTGCCGCAACGCGTTCGCCTTTGCCGCCACGTCGGCAGGCAGCGCTGTCACGTTGTAACCTCTGAAGGCACGCACGTCCGCCTTCCCAACCTGGTGGAAGCCCAGCCAGTCGCGCAGCAGCGAGCTCTCGGTCTGCAGCCATGTCGGAATGTTGCCTGTAGGGTGACATCGAACTGCATAAAATCATGACGAGTCCAGGGCACATACGTACATCAATCAAACAGACATATTCATATATAGTTAGATAGCTACAGTGTGCAATGTATAATATACATATGACACATATACATATATATATATATATGTATGTATGTATGTATGATGCATGTATGTATGTATGTATGTATGTATGTATGTATGTGTGTATGTGTGTATATGTCTATTATATATATATATATATACATACGTACATATGTATATATATATATATACGTGTGTGAGTGTGTGTGTGTGTACGCATCAGGAAGGAAATAGGCAATGACTGCTACGAGTGCACGAAAGCAATTAGCAATTTGACCATATCAAGTCCACATGCACGTCAGCGCGCGTCACCACAGTGTTATGCGTGCACGGGTGTGCACGGCTAGTGATGACCAGTATACATCAACATATCCGAGCACCGCCTGAATTACTCTGTCTGTGCAACCCTTCTGGTAAGCAAGAAAACGCCAGTGATCACAGTGTTTTTCACATATTACGTATGCTTCCATGTCTTCGGTCCACATCAGACCTCCCACTGCTTTCTATCCAATTGTACACAGAATCCCGCTAGCTAGCCCGCAGAACCCACAGAGCTGCATTATCTCTGACTTAGAAAATAGCAAGCACCTCTACTTGCCAGCACTTCAAAAGCTGCATTCGAGAAAGCTACAGACCCGCACTGTCTCTCAGCGTCGTTGCATGGACTGGAAAGAGGTCCGCATAAAGGGCTCGAGTCTACCGAGTTGATTTACTTTGATCAAGAATTTGGAAAGCTTGTCTCTGTCGTGCATCCGGTGCAACATGGCATGACAGCGCTGATGCCCCTGCAATATTTGCTTCTTTGGTAGGGCTTGCAGGCAGAGGAACGGCTGATCAGTGTTTTGGCCCGAGGTTCCTCATGTTAGGAAAACGACAGCTCGTGCTCCGTAGCGGAGAAGCACAATAGCAAAAGCGGGCGAGAAGCGCAGAAACAGAAAATGACAGCTCGGGCCCTGAAGTGGAGATGCGCAAAGCACAATAGCAAGAAGCGGACGAGGCCCAAAAAAAGCCAAGAAACAGGCGCAACAAAAAATCCCGTAAAACATGGCCCTCCCTGATGAAATTGCCAGGAGCATCGGCAGGGCTCGAACATGAGCAACATCAAAAACTGTGGCCGGTTCAGGTATGCTGGTGTTGCTGGTCGTGCACAGATCATGGTTTGGAATAATTGCTCTTGTTGCTGCCAACATTTCGCAATCAGACAGCTAACGGTGCAGTCGGTCCAAGAGAGCTGGAGCCTTCAGTGTTTAAGGTTGTAGTCAGCTGCCACTCCGCTGAACTCTACCCCGATGCAAACTGGAGGGGTTGCCAAGCTTGTGGATCGTGAGTTGACTTGGGTCACTCCAATACCCAACCAGCTCTCAAGCTCATGAGCCCTTCACAAAACTTACCAAAGTGATTGTTTTGTCAGAGGTGGCATCTTTCTGCATCTATCGTTCTTGCAAGCTCTCTTAGGCCGGCACCGATCACGACACAAAGTCGTCTGGCACGTGTCAAGGCAACGTTGAGACGCCGCCAGTCGGCCACAAATCCGACATCTCCACGACGGTTCGCTCGGACGAGGCTGAAGATAATAACCTCCCTCTCGCTCCCTTGGAATGCATCAACGGTCGACACTTGCACTGCCAACTGCGCATTGTATGGCAGTGACCTTTGTATCAGCTTCACCTGACGCAAGGATTACAACATGCAGCCGCCCCGGTGCCACTTCCTTAAAATGACTTCACCTGCCTGTGCTCCATACGGAGAGATGACGCCAATGCTTTCGGGTCGAATCTCATGCTGCATGACCTGCCAAGGTACCGCGTTTAATATTTCTGAAGAGTCGGTGACACCAGCTATACGGCTACGCGCGGCTGGCCTGTTCCACGACCCAAGCCACACAGTCTGCTTCCGCTTCATTCTTTTTGGAAGCTCCCCCAGAGCTCTCCATGGCATCCACATGCAGAAAAACCAGCGGAGACCGGAAAGGAAGTCCGTGCGGCAGCTGCCGGTCGGCGTCCGTCACCGCATTCTTCAAGTCGCCACGGTAAAAGCGCCAGGAAGGGAAGGCGCTGATGGAGGGGTGCATTCGGTACTGATCTGTCAGAAGCGTGTACTCCATGCCCATCGACAGCAGCCCTTGTCAGCAGGGGATGAGAGGAGAGGGAGAGCGGGAGCTGGAAGACATGCAAAGAGGTAAAAGAGTTCAAGATCCAAAACCACATGTAAACTTCTACAGCTTCAAAAACTGCAGTCGCGAGGATCGGTCGAACATGGAGATGTCCAGGCCCTTGGCCTGGGCTTCCTGGCTGAGGACCGTAGCGGGGAGCTGGCACTGATCGCCCACCATCACGGTCTGGACGGCCCCCTTGCCGAGAGGAAGAATCACGGCGGGCTCGATGACCTGAGCCGCCTCGTCAATCACGATGAAAGGAAAGGTCTTGCTGTCCAACGGGCCCATGCCACAGCCGATGCATGTTGCACAGATCACATCTACAGTTTCAAAGACGGCTTTCATGCCTTTCTCCCCACGCCGCAGGCCACACTCCTGGAGCCTCGTCTCTAGCGAATACGGCTCTTTCGCAGAGCAAAGCCCCATTCGCAGCACCTTGACACCCAAGGCATGCAGCTGCTGTGCGACATTGTCACAACCTTTGTTGCTGAAAGCGGAGGCGAGTACTGGCCCACGGTTGCTCTTTAACCAACCGCAGATGATGGCCACTGCCGTGGTGGTCTTCCCAGTGCCTGGTGGACCTTGAACCAAGGTGAAGCGGCGCCTCACGGGACAAAGAGAACCACATCGTGCACTGCCCCGAACCCGACTGTGCCTACTTCAGTAACGCATGTGCTACAACACTTCCAGCTGCCCATCTGAGTACAACTGGATGCGAACAGTTCAGGCGTGCCTTTGCTCCAGGACCATGTCCCGAGCATTCTGCTGCGACTCATTCAAGTCCTTTTCGCTGTGGATGTCACTGTGTGCTGTGTACTTTTCGGCCCCGATGTCCTTTTCACGTGCGTGACGGCTGATGTCGGCTTTCGGATTGGGCGCCGCCCGAGTTAAGGGGTCCCACTTTGCCGCAGCCGCGGAAGACTCGTGGATATCTGCATAGAGAGCATCTGCCAATGGAGCTCCGGGCAAAAGGAGCCCGCACAAATTCGCATTGTAGTTGAGCTTTTGGATTGAATCTCGAGGGTTGGCAGCTTGGTCCACGCCCAGACACCTCTGCAACTCGTCCAGCATCTTGTCAATGCGTTTGTTGGCGATAATATTCGGACCAAGGTCCACCCTGTACAAGTCATTACCACTTCCGGTTGAAGGCAATCGCTCGTAGGGCGTGCTGAGGATTATGGTGTTGTCACGGATGCTCTCGACTTCTGCTGATATGGTTTTCTTCGGATCTTCCAAGTCTACGCCTCCGTTCATGGTGCTCAGCAGCACTGCTCGACCAAACTTGATTTCAGAAAGATATGGCATCCTCCAACCATCTGGCCAGAGCGTGACCCGGCCGTAAACGGCATCGAACTCGCCACAGAGTCCAGCGATTCCGATGCCTTCGTCTTGCAGCTGCCGAGTGCTGCGCTTCTGCACTTTCTCAAGCACCGCTTGCCGCTCGGCCTCGTACTCCAGCTCCAGGCTCCTCGAGTGCTTTGAGCGATGCAGTGCAGTGCAGTGCAGTGCAGTGCAGTGCAGTGCACTGCAACAACGAAAAGAATCGAAGAAAGTGTCTCGCTGGGCTGGGCCTGCGATGAACAACAAAAGACGAGAGAGTGGGTTGCAGGGGGGGGGGGCCCTGTTCTACAGGACCCTCTGCAACCAGCATCCTTCTTGCTTTTGCTTTGAGGCTCTGGTATTACAGTTTGTCATTTCGCAGCTGTGACAAATCCGGGAACCGTGTGGTGAATGCTACTCCAGGCACTTGTTCACCTGTTCGATGTCCACTGCCGTGCTGCACAGCTCAGGGCTCAGTGACTTTCGCCTGGCATGCTAACCTGTAAATTCATGTCTCTGGCCTGGCAATGCTGTTGCGATTCTGGATCTTCAACTCGAGGTGTTGTGTTGCGGTTCATACCAGTTCAGTTGTACGATTGTACTGCGAACCCGACGATTGTACCTACCGGCGGCGAGTGCTCATCCCAGCCAGCCGTTGCAGCTACAATCAATGGCCTGCAGAGGCAGGCAGTGCCATACCCTACATCGGTCGCCATTGCACAAGGATGCAGAAAGTGTTCAAGCGTACGTCGAGCGCGTGCCCCTCCCCCTGCAGCATCTCCGACCGACCGCCAACAGGACACGGAAACCACGGCATTCTACGATGCGCTGTGCAAGTGCAAAGCGGTCACAATGACAGCGGCCAAGGTGCGAGGTAAAGTGCCGGACATAGGCATCGAGGGATGTACGCCACTCCTGCGTGATGCCGCCGGCTTGCTCGACGGTTCTCCATCCATAAGGAGTCAAGACAAACTTCGGTCCAGAGTCACCTGCTTCGTCTTGCGCCACCTCTGCAGGCCCAGCTCCAGAGACGCGACTTGGATGGGGAACTAAATTGCCGGCCTCTGCTATCCACTTGAAGCCGCCAGACAAAGGAGGAGCCCCGCCGCTGCCGTCGAAGGAAATCGAAAATGTCGCCTCTTTGGCATACACGTGAGGATACAATGGCTCGCCGGAAAGCTCTTTTCCAAAGGTGAAGGCATCTCCCGGGATCTCTCTGCCATTCTTAAAATAAAGAATGGCTCGCCTCTCAAGATCCACGCAGCAGGTGATGGCGTCGTCTTTGCCGAATGTTTGGCCAAACTTCTCGAAGTTGCCTGCATGGGACTTCGTAGCCGTGCCACCGAATCCCCAAGAGAACCGATCAGTTCCCAAAGCCAATTTGGCATCCGCCGTAGACCAGCCAATGCGCAAGTTTCCGCCAGTCTCGTTCCACACACAGAAGGCCCACAAGCCTTCTCCTCCAACACCACAATCAGCACGGACACCGGCCCACTGCGTTCCGCTGTCCGTCTTCCGCTTGGCACGCTCTCGAGTGCCGCTGCCAGTGCTGCCCATGAGAAGCCTTGGACTCACTAGTCATCAACGTCCCCACACAATCCGACGAAGCAATCGTCTTACAAAGACTCATCCCCAAGCAAGCAACAACAACATTCCTAGATGCGACTGGCACTACATGTTCGTGGCTTATTGTTCTGCTGGCGCTATTGCCTCCCCCCAACAGAAACTTATCAAAAGCGCACACTCCCGAGACGAGCCCGAAGTAGGCTACTTTCATCAGAGCGACAAGCCGTTCTCGCAGTCGTTCACGTTCAGCCTTAAGCTCTCCCCGGCCTGCAGAGCATCGCCAGGCCCTCGTGGCGCCTTCGCTGGAGCCGCGGCATCTTTTTGGCCCTTTCCGTTTCCTCCCTTCGAACCTCCCTTCGATCCGGCGTCGCCTCTGTCCTTCCCCTTGCCACCGCGCTTTCCTTCTTTGCCTCCGTCTCGCCAGTTGTCTTCACTCCATCCAGCTCCGCCGCCTTTCCAGCCAGAGTTCCAACCGCTCCATCCCCAGCCAGACATCAACTGCAGCCCTCTTTCAGATGAGGTGAGTGAAAGCGAACAGGGCTCTTCGAAGGTCCGCGAGGCTCTCTGCCTTTGAGCCGCTGCAATCCGTCTGGCATGTCGAAAGGGCTTCAGGAGAAAACAGCAGGTGGACTGCTGGCTGCATCACTGAGACATCTCATATGGATATAGGCCCTTTTTTGGTTGCCATGCATCAGTTCAGTGAGACGGGTAAGGGAGAAGAGGAGATGCTTTCCTACAGAAAGAATCCCCCCCTGGGCACTTGATGGCAATCCCCCGAGCGGACATAAGACATAAAGACTGTTCGCTGCATCGCTAGGTATCGAAAGTGTTTTTTGCCTCTCCGCCTCGTGCTTTCAAAGGTGTCGGAGGGCACGACTCTGACCGCCATGGGGATGCATTCATTATCGTGCATTGTAGCAATTGTAGCAATAGCGACCTCAGCCGTACTGGGCCAAAACCGTCTGTATGGTGGACACCGCGCTGCTGCAAGTGTGCAGTGCACTCAGGAGGAGCTCAACTTGCGATAGCATATCCGAGAGCGGAGTGGTTCCGCGGCTCGTGGTCGCAGCCGAGCGCATCTTATCGACCAATTGAAGGAAGGTCTGCTTCCGGGATCCCACTGCTGCCAAGAGACCGGACAACCTTCGAGTGCTGGCATGGTGCGCGACATTCCCGTGCGGAGAAGCCGCGGATCTCAGGGCATCAGATCCTCTCTCAAGGATCTCCTGTCGAAGATCTGCGGCATCACCAGATGTGTTGGAGCTCGCGGATTGCAGCTTCCGGCTATAAAGATCCTTCAGCATAACCTGTATGCTGGTGAGCTCTGATGTGAAGAAGTTCTCCATTTCCAACAACAGCGACTCGAAGTCCTTTCTGTCTGCAAGGAGGGACGATGCAGTCTCTGAGGACTCGGCAATCATTGCGAAAAGCCATTCCAGAGTACCCAGCTCCGACACGATAGTACGGAAAGAGCTCTCGAGTGTCGAGAACAGCTCGAGAGGGAATTCAATTCCTTTGGGTGCTGGCTCCTCTGCTGCACTCGGGAGGAGTCTCTTCAAATCATCCAGATGTCTGAGAACCAGGGCCTCCTCATTGGAAGATCCATCTACATTGGACGGTTCTGCTTTGTCCTTCTTCCCACTGTTCAAGCCCATTACCCTGGAAAGCAATCCCATCGACTTTTTTAGAGTGTGCTGCAGCTGGTACTGCGAAAGGCTTCGTGCGCTTGAGAACAGTACCAGATCCAACACCAACATAATCGCTCCTCCCAGAACTGCTGCCTTCACACTCGTGGCCAAAGAAAGTTCTGCCCCAACGTCAATTGAAGAGTTGTACTCTCGGAAGACGCCACTCGGAGGCACCAAGGCATAAACTCCAATCGCCAGAACAGGAAGTGCAACTCCAGCGTTGGCTTTCGAATGAAGGATTTGGAAAGTCAGCACAAAGGCGAAAAGCCAAAGCCACACGGCGAACAACGATGCGTGAAACTCCGACTTCACTGCAAGGACTTGGCCCAGAGAGTGGCCTAACACGGTGCCAACGATCACTGAATTCAGACGCCGTGTGATCAAGCCAAGGGAGAACCCTGCTCCTGTTGTAGTGGAAACAACGGTGGCGACAGTAGCTGCGGCTCCAGAGGTATATGCATTCAGCATGCGCTCCAGTCCAACCCAGCCAAACAAGAATGCCAATACCATCGCGAGCGTGCTACGAAGCACGAATCGCCGATGCGATGGGTAGTTCCCTTGATTTCTGGAATTTGTTGGGCATATGTAAGAGTCATGCGTGCAGGGCGCCCTTCTACGATGCAAAAAAGCAAACCCTGAATTGCAGACAAGCGTCGAGTCTGAGGGAGCTCTATTCTGACACAAAGCTCCGACAAGAACCTCACGTCAGTTGCGACAGCCAACGTTGCACAACTCTTGCAGGAATTCGTGTACCCCTCACTTTGAGTAGTAAGTAGTACTTTTCACACTGTTGATACTTCTCTCCCTCCTCACTGCCGAAACTTGCCCGTCGACTTTGATGTCATGCGGACATGACCTCTTTTGTCATGCCGCTTCCTGGATTCCTGTCGACAAAATGCGCAATGGGGACACCGGCCCCATCATGCGATATGCTAGCATGGCGGGGGCACAGGCTGGGTGGTCCAGGCGCTGCATGCGAAGGACTCACACACCGAGCCCCGAGCAACTCAAGAACACCGTGCAAGCACCTTCTTGCAGACGACATCGTAAGGAGAAGTGCTCGAGACCTCTTTATGAAACCAGACAAGCCTGGAGCATGCCAGAGTCTTCCTTCAGCTCTCTTTCTGTTGCTCTTTCTTTTGCTTTTTCTTCTTGTGGGGAGTTTCTCTGTTTCGCACGAATACAGTCACCCGTCAACCGCGCATAACTCAGCAATCTCGCAGCGCGGGCCCACGTTACACACAAAGCAAACGAGGCAAAAACAACAAATCCTCGTGAAGCCTGCGAAACCTGGGTTTTGCCAGAACTGTACAAAGCATGTCATGAAAGTGTAAACCAGCCAGGCGTTGAACAACCCCGTCCAAGCAATACACAAGCCAGGGCAAAATGTGAACACACACAACGCTCTTTGACGTTGACTTGAACCCGCGTTGCCTCAGTGGATTCCAGCTTGTTCTGAACGACATCGTCTCCAGCACTTTAAGACGAGAGATCGTTCCTTTGGCAAGCTCACACACTCGTGACACTCGGATTCAGTGGAGGCTTGACGACTCAAAACCGACAGTTTGGCTGCACCTGCCTGATGCAATGGTGCACAATGCCAAAGCAAAGCTCAAGCTTTCGCCGCTCATTTCGTTCTTCGCAGCCACCTTCGGAAACTCGGTCTCCAAGGCTTGCATGGCCTGGAGCAAAGGATTTATGGGCTCTGCTTCTCTCCTCGCAATTCCGTGCGCGAGTAATCATCACTGACCGCCGGCCTCTTCGAAGTCCTCGATGGCAGCTTTGTCCACGGGATTTCGCGGGTTCGGTATGGCCTTTGCGGCCGCGTAACAGATATCCTGGATCGAAGGTAAAACGTCCTCGAGCCGCGTCCCAGAAGATGGCGACAGCCTCGGTATGTGTCACACTGGTGCCGGCTCTGCATCTATCAGACTCTAATCCTCTACTCCGACACGCGCCAAGCGACTTCCTGGAAAGGCGGTTGGCCATCGAGGCGTGCTGCAAGAGGGCGGCCAGGAGTTCCGTGTACGCCTCGAGCTTCCTCCGTCGCCGGCTGCGTGAAACCAAGATGCCAAAGTCCTGGCAGCTGGGAAGATCTTCTAAAGCATGAGAGAAGGAGCAGCACATGATCTCCTCGAACCAGGCATGGGATAAATGGCCCTCTATATCAGACAGCCAGAGCCTGGTCCCATCGATGGAAGACCTGGCCGGCCGCCCAAAGCCCATTTCTTATGCAGAACAGCAGGACATCAAAAAGCACAGCAAAGCACTCACAGAGAGCAGTCAAAGTCTGCAGTCCAAAGAGCTCGATGGCGAGGCTTACTTCATCTTTCGTTGCAAAGGGTAGCCCCTCGATCACCGCGCTGACTGTCTCGGCAAGCTCAGTAGTAAGCTCTGTAGCCTTCACAAGGGCTTCGTTGGGGCAAGGCAAGATCTGGCTGACAATCGCGATGAACGCGCCAACACATGTCATAATGGACTGAGTCCACGGATCGCTTGGATCGTTACTGAAGGCCGGAGAATTTGGATCCACAAAGGCCATTGCCCAGTAGAGCACATAGATAAGTGCCTGGCCCAACCAAAGACCCAGTCCCCAGTCTGCTTACTTAAGGTGTCTCCGCAAAACTAGCAAAAAGACTTATTCCAAAGTCGTATCCCGGCTGCGTAGACACGCACACACGTGCCGAAGCCAATATAAAGAAAGATGCCGGTGAAGAGCGCCAGGTCCACCAAAATAATCAAGGACCTCACGGAGCCCTCCGTGACAGCTGTCCAGTGGACATTGAAGAAACATTCCCGCAAAAACTCCGCTGTGCTGTTGGTCTCCACAAAGCGTTCTCCGTTGCCCAAGTTGCACAAAGGCAGCCAGTCGGAGGCATAGATGACGTTGCCCATTGAAACGTCGATGACCTCCTCGCGTGTGGCATAAGCGCCGCCATTCAGGTAGGTGCCAAATGCGCGGTTGATCAAGAGCACGTTTCCCAATGCAAGGCCAGTGCCAATGACGCCCTCGACTGAGTAGCGCACTGAGGCACCAAGAGAAGGGCCAAGCAGAAAGCAAAAGTTTTGCATCGCCATGTTATAGCTGGCCATGTATTTGCTACTCCTGGTGCCCCAGCTGTTGAAAAACTCGGCGACAGGATACAAAATGACAGGTCCACCAATCACCAACATCCAGAAAGCTAGCCGGAAAGCCAGCCACCAATGAGAACGGTAACGGCGCCGTGCTCGCAGGGCTGTTTTTTTGAACTTTTGGTGCTCGTTCAAGCTTTCCAAAACCTTGATCATTGCGTTTGCCCAATCTGGGTTCGTTGGTGTGCGCAACGCAAGCCTGTCCACATCCTCATCCACAGACATAGAATCTGTATGCACTATGGACGGTGGCTTGTGAAAGCCCTTCTCAATGTCGTTCATGCACTCCGCTAGGTCGGTTTCCTCTTGTTGCCCCTGCTGCAAGTCTCCGTCTTCATCTTTTGTAAGACTGACAATTGGCACGGATGGAGCTTGAAAAGCTTCTTGTATTTCGCGAGAAGCTTGATAACTTGGTGGTGTTACGTGATCTGGTATGCAGGGAAGTGCCTGGACAGCTTCTTTGGTGCCCCTATCGCCCCGCTTTACTACCTTCAGCTTCACGTTGCACCCGGCCAGGTCTGGAGGATCAAGCCCGTTGTGCTTTCGCACAGAAATTATCGTACCTTCCACAGTTAGTGGGGTCAGCGGGCTGTCCACATCTCCATCACTCCGTTGGGCCTTCGACCGCTGCTTAAGCGGGGAAGACATGCAGCAACTAGCGACTGCCGAATTTTAACAGCATCCTGAGATTGAGCCAAATGCCGTGCGCTGGACTTCTAGGCCCTAGGCCCTAGGCCCTTCGACTGCCTTTCCCGCTTGCACTTCCAGTGACGTGCCGGCTAGATTCGCTTCATTTTTTAAGCAGCTCGGCACGGCTCTCCTCATGCAAGCCGCCTCGACTGTGGGCATGTCTGGTACGCAATTGGTGAGAGACTGACGCCACGACACTCACATGCCAACATAGTGGTAGGACACGTTCGTAAGGTTGACCTGCAGACGATGCAACATGCTGTTTTGCGAACATGTTTCAGTTTTGCATGCTGGCCCTGGCAAATCGAGACTCACATGGGTGGAACTCTGGGAGCCAGACATGGAGACAGCTCAAGACCAAGGCCAAGAGAACCACCACACCTTCAAGGGGTCCCGCTTAATGCCACCTTCCACACTCTGCAATTGAGGCTGCGACCAGATGGATAAAGGATCACTTCTGTTCGCTCCAGAAACGGCAGGACACTGTACCTCCAAAGGCGTGGAAACACAGCTACAGAACCGGCAAAATGCATTGAAGGTCTCACCCGAGCGACATGATGTACAGGTAGTAGCACAAAGCCGCAGCATAGAGCAAATTACCTGGAAACGGCATTGCTCTTGCTAGTCTTTTGTCCTCGCCATGATCGCCCTGGCCCTCCGGCCCAGTACAGGCGGCTTCGTGCTCGTCTAACGATCGCTTCTACTCGCACAAGACCTTCTGCTTGCACTCCATGACACCATAAGTGCACAGGGCCCGTGCCCTTCAGAGCATTAAGGCTGTTACGCATGCAGACAGAAGCATTGCCGAACAGACACATGCATAACACCACATGGACCCAAGGCTGGACCTTCGTTCGCCTAGTGCTGGAAGTGTCAGATGAGGGTCTTGCTTGCGGCACTCCTTCGACAGCCTTTTAGCTCACGGTCACACACAGACACGCGCGCTAACTACTTCCTGCGTGGCTGCTTTCGGAAACAAGCTTTGGACATATAAACTTCTTCTCACATGTCTTCTACAAGGCTGCCCAAATCCAGGCTAGGGAGGACGGAGGACGGAGGGGAAGTCTCAGGTAGAGTCAAGATCCAAATGTAGTTTGCCAAGAAGATAAAACTCCATATCAAAAACCGACACGTGCAACTCCAACACCGGAAGTTTAGTCTTTGCTTTGGCGAAACATCGTCTCGGAACAGAAAGCTGAAGGAAGCTGGAATAGCAAGGCAATCCGACACGACATTGCAAGCCTGTAACACCACCCGAGCTCGACTAACTTCGCCATGAGGGACAACGTCGAACTCAACGAGCAAATCAGCACGCCCGAGTTCTTCAGTATACCGTAATACCAGGCGAATACACTTCAAAGGTCTAGGCAGCACCGGGATCACCACGGCAAGTGGATGCTAAAATAACACTGCTCAAAGAAACGCCTCCGGAACACGAACGTCTCTTGAGTGCCAGTCCAAGGAGCTCAACATGGCAGCTGCAAGGTTGGGCTGCATGAGAATTGGCAGCATGAAGTAGTGCAGTACCTGCGGAATCCATTTTGGTGCGATGCTGCGACACTGACCACAAGCGAGGCCCGAGCATACAGCACGAGGAACAATGGAAAGAACGAATTGCAGTGAATGTCAAAAGCGTACATCCATTCCTGGCATGCGAGGTTCGACATTTCGCAATGCATCTTGTCCGCCCGTTGGTAAACGGAAGCCAAGGGCGCCATCTTCTGTTCCACACCATGGAACGACTGCGCTCTCATGTAGTTGTTCGCAACAAACCACGACACCTTGCTACATGTGAAGGTGACAACCAACACATCTCCGGGCAATGGCATCTCCCGTCGTAAGCCCAACACACTAGAAATCAGCACCCCGAAAACCAGGAAGTGACCGATCACGAAATGCAGCACGATGTGCAAGAAGGCAGCTCCTCTCTCAAAATAATGCTCGCTGCATTCGGTCGATATACGTAATGCCACACATCTCGCCTGTGGCTTGGAAAGCCAGGCCATATGCAACAGCCGCAACGGTCAAGAAAAACACCAACACCTCCACGGTGTCGGAAATTCACGTCTGCACAGCTGGGTCAACATGAGGCCGTGGCTACAACAAATGCAGGATCGTCTCTCGCCTTTCTGAATGACATCTATCACACGGAATGGCTCGGCTTCGGAAATTAAGGCCCTTGCCCATTGATTTTTTGTTTGCTTGCGATAAGACGTCAGCTGATAGACCTTCCTGCGCAAAGTCCAAGCAGTTGGAACCATATGTAGCCACGCAAGCACGATTGGCAGCTCCTCGGCGAAATGCAGAGGTACAGCATCTGTGCGAAGGTATAGTCTATGTCCATTTGTGCCTCGTCGAAACGCGCATGCAGTTTCATGCGCAGAAAAACTTGGATTGTTTCGTCGTGTGGCCCGGTACATTGCTAGCACACCAACGCCCAAACACAACGCTGTGTGGTGTTGTAGGCTTCCGCAACACGACAAAACAATCGCCGGTTGTTACTTGAGCCAAGCCCGCTCGCGACTTTGCCGAAATGCCCAAGCCACGCATGCCCTGCATCGCTGTTTTCAACGCTTTCTTGGGTCCGGGACGACCCCGGCCAAGCTCAAGTTGCGTTTTTGCTGAAGTCATTTGTGCCAGACCAGGCCACTACATCGCGGCATTACGCACTGTTCGCGATTCTAAAGAAGTGACGCCAGAAAGGCATAGGCGTAGAGGGAGCCGGGTTTCGACAAAGGGGCGGGAATGCAAATGTTCCACCGGAGCCAGGGCCCTTGTACTATGCTATGACTCCGCAGGGCATCGTGCTGCCCTCGCCAGCGAGAAGCGCGCGCTTGAGTTGCATTTTTTTTTTACAACACGCACCTTTTTCCGTGAGCAGCTGGGGCTCGGGCGCGCCCCAGCGCCGTATGGCCGACAGCTTGCTGGACGGCCACGGAAAGCACGCTCCACCAGCGGCGGGCCCACGCAGCCTTCGCCGGGGCTCGCACTGCCGGCGGGGCCCTGTGCGCACGGAGGGCGACAAGGCGGCCACTTCGCAACCGAGCACGCACAGGGTTTGCGCGCCTCCTGCATCGAGTTCGGGGTAGGTGGCGTGCTTGCGCCGGTAGGCGGTGCGCAGAACGGTTCCATCTTGTGTGGCCGCGCCGGGGTGGGGCTCGCCGTCACGCGTTATAAGGGCGAGACGAGGGTCGCATCGCAGCAGAGGGCTCAGCGGTGCGGCACCATAGATGACAAGGTCAAGGCGCCGGCGATCGTCAGGCGCAATGCGCGGTGCGGTGGTGTTGACGAGCCATTGTTGGGGCACCATGTGTCCCTCAGGTCCGACATTAGACCCCGGCAACTTTGCACCACGCCCGCTCAACTAGCTTGGCTCGTCTGGCCAGCAGGCCGGTCCGGGGGCATGCGAGTGCATGGTCGCCGAATGCATCAACGCGGCGTCCGCACCCATGCTCCGAGGTGCTCCCGCAGCGGCCTGGTGCGAGCGGAAGTGGGAGCCGGAGTCGCCGACGCAACGCGATCTGCATTGTCTCCGCGGTGAGCGAGGTGTGGGGGTCGCTGGGGATGGCCTGGAGGCGAGCAGCGGCGTGCGGACCAGCTTGGGAGCGCAAGAGCGCGCGGTGGGGAGGTGGCAGAGAGGGCAGCAGCACGTGGTCGCGGAAGAAGAGGTTCCGTGTACGCGACGCACTGTGTTGCCACCCGTGCTTCCATTATCTTCCATTCACCGGGCTCGGCGGTCCCTTCAGGTCGGTCAGGCGGACGTGCTCCTTGCGCCAGGAGCTCCCAGCCAGGAAGGCACGTCTGTCCACCTTTCGGCTGCAAGCATCCCACGGGCCGCAGAGGCTGTTCGGAGGCATGCTGGTCCATGCGCGTCCGTGAGGCAGCGGACCGCCCACTCCGTGAAGGCCGGGCTCCTTTCGCGGAGCACAGCGAGAGCATCGGCCCAGGCCGCCCAGTACGCTGCAGGTCCGGTGCGCGTGGCCTGCGACAGCCCCAACCCGCCCAAGCTAGCCGGAAATAAAGCGATGTCCCTAGCGGGGCATGCGCGGTGGTGCCCAGACAGGCCTGGAAGGTGCCCCATATAGCTGCGTCATGTGCCGCAGCATATGGCGCTATGAGATCGGGAGGGACGGTCCGGAGCGCGTGGTTAGCGCGGGGCGCGGCGCAGAAGCTGTGAGGAGGAGCCACGCGCACTGCAGGTCAGGCAACTTGGGGAGCTGGCGGAACAACGCATCTTCGGTTTCGAGTCTTTCGGAGCCCCAGGCACGGACGTACTCTGGCGTGCCGATGGGGGTGCCGAGTGCGACGAAGCCTCGCTGCTGAGGGGGCCGGTTGCCACACCATACGTCGGGCCCGAGGTCGGCGATCCCGGGCGGAGCCGGGCCACCTGCGTAGTTGAAGACGCGCGTCTTTCCCAAGTTGGCGGCTATGCCCGTATGCGTCTCGACCGTGCCTGTCACCAGATCCAAGGCGGCGTTTCGAGTTGGGTTGGGCAACAAGACGTAGAGGTCATCCAGAAAGGCCATGAGCGATTCGCCCTGTCGCAACTGTGAGTCTGCCCGGCGTAACGCCTCGTGTTGGCCGAGTGCGAACAAGGCGGGGGCCAGGGTGTCCCCCTGTTGCATTTTTCGCACATTGATGCCGCATCTCTAGCGCTGCTGCTGTCGCAGGCCGGGCCACACGCTGCGCGCGCCTTCGCTGTCTTCCCAACCTCAGCCAGCCGAGGTAACTGTGCCCTCACCACTCTTCCGCGTGCTGCTGCTGCCGCTGCCTGTGGCACCGTGCACGTGCGAATGCCGCGGCCACCTTGACCCTCTCGGCGACCATATAGGGCTGCATGTGCGACTTCCGGTGCGCTCGCATCCCGAGCCCTTCCTCTCGAGCGGGCGGTGGCAATGGTATGCCAGGAAGCCGGGGCGCGGGTCGCCCGTAACGTTCGCCTGGCCGACATCAACATC